ACTCAAACCATTTTTCCACTTTGACTTTTTACTTTAAAATTTTCTCAAGAGATTAGACTCTTGTCAATCCTTGTAGTGATGCGAGCTATTATACTTCTACATTATGTAGCAAAGTGAGATATCTTCCACTTAGGTGTTGAGTGAGGCTTTGTTGATTTGAAAATCCAAGCTATATCCTCCACTTTGAGATAATGTAAATTCTCCTTTCTCATTATGGTGGTTAGTAAGTATGTCTTCCACTCGGATATGATGATGATGTCTTGTCTCTTAAAATAAACCAACACACTTGTTTTAAAAAAATTTAAAGGTGAACTACGAGTACCCTGATCCCCTATTGCTCAAAAGGTGGTATGTGGGCACTAAAGGTTCGCAACTGCGGCGGGTGCAAAAATTGTAAAAAATACTTCTTTTCTCATCTTCACCATCTATTTTTATATACAACATTTATAGCCAAAATACACAATTTTTCAAAGAGGTTCCTGTGGAGTACCGTAGATATTTAGGGTGCTAATACCTTACCTTTGTATAACCAACCCCCATACCTAGATTCTCTCCCCCTCTTTTTTGGGTTATTTGCTCTTTTCCCATTCCTCTGGAAACAATAAAGCACAGTGGCGGTTTTTATTTGATCTGTGCGAGTCAATTTAATCCAATGGCTTAGTCTCAACATTTTTACCATTACACTTCCCTTTGCATAACCAACCCAATTAACTTGACCTCTATTTTCATTTAGGGTTTCATTCGCTCTTTTCCCATTCCTTTGTAACAATAAAGTGTGGTGGTGACTTTCACTTTATGAGTTAAGTCAATCAATGGCTTAGTCTCAACTTTTTTCCGGTACACCATGGTCACTTCTTATCCTCATAACCTAACTCATTTTTCCTCTTTGGATATGTTGACACAGTTATTTGAAGACATCAAAAGTTTCAGGTTTTTCTTTAATAAATTTGACCCAAGTATACCTTGAGAAATCATCCACACAGACACACACAAAGACATATCTTTTCCCACCCAAGCTTTCTACTTGCATAGGCCCCATTAGATCCATATGAAGTAACTCTAAAACTTTTGAGGTGGTAAGATGTTGAGCTTCTTGTGGGGAATCTTGGTATGCTTTCCTATCTGGAACTCTCCATATATTTTTCCTTCTTCAACCTTGAGCTTTGGTAATCCCTTGATAGCATCTTTAGATATGACATTTTTCATACTTTTGAGGTTGAGATGACCAAGTTTTTAGTTCCATAGCTTGGTATCATCTACCTTGGATATCAAACATGTTAAGGGATGACATTTGTTTTGAGATACCCACAAATAATAATGGTCTTTGGACATTGAACCTTTCATTAACACTTCTTGATATTTGCTTGAAATAATGCATTCCAATTTGTTAAAGCTCACATTCAGACCTTGATAACATAGTTGACTTATACTTATCAAGTTTTCAGTTAATCCTTCTACCTTAAACTCATCATCAAGGCAAGGGAAACCTAGACAAACCAGTTTTCCTATGACATTGATTTTACCTTTTGCACCATCACCAAAAGTAACATAACTATTGAAGTAATGTTTTAACTATTCTAGATAGTAATTTTCTCCAGTTATGTGCTTGGAACATCCACTCTCAAAGTATAAATCTTCTCTTGAGGAAAATCTAAGATATGTATGGGCTATGAGTATTGTGGTTATTACTTTGGGTTTCCACACTTTCCTTGCTTGAACCTTCTTGCATGTTTTTCTATTGAGCCTTGGTTGACTATATGGGTGAGGATGACCATAAAATTTATATTAGTAGGGCCTTATATAACCATATCTTCCACAATGATGACATCTCATAGAATTGTTTTTGTAGCCTCTATACTGAGGGTACATATGTTGAACCGGTTGTTGAGACATGTGGTCCACCATCTAGAACCTGATTTACTTCTTAGGAGGAACAAACTTGTTAGAGGGGGTTTTGATATTTTTGTTCATGTAACTATAGTAAAACCCTATATCCTTCATATTCCCTAACATCTTTCCAACTTTCAAGATTTCATCTAACATATCTTAACCACTGTTCAACATACGGAAAAATTTTGTCATATTTTCAAGCTTGGAGTTTAATAGTTACTTCCTCTTCCAGACCAGTGATGGTTGAAACAAGTTTCTATTTTTCCACAAGGAGAACACTAATAGTTTTCTTCTGTTTCTCTCCTATCATGCAAGCTTCCTTCCATTTGGTGTATAAAAATCTATATGTTGTAGAAAGATCTTCATTAGTGATATCTTCATCACTAGACTCACTCACAGATTCATATTTTCCATCCATCACCTTATTAGTTGTTTCCATCTCATCATCAGATTCAAACCAAGTGATCGATATTCCCTTTTTCTCATTCTTTAAAAACATAGGACATTCAACTTTAATATGGCCAAAATCTTCACATTCATAACATTAAGATCCTTTGCCTTTGTTTGATTTGTCTTCATCTTTGCTTTTGCATCGTGGACCAATGTATGACACTTTTTCTTGGAGATTTGTCCTTCATTTTTTGTTCAGTTTCTTCAAATCTTTGTTTAACTTTCTACCAATGAGAGTTATAACATCAGATAGAATTTCTTCACTTTCACCTTGATCTTCATCCTTTTCAATGTTGTATACAAAGGCTATACTCTTGTTCTTATTTTTAGACCTATCATTTATATCCATCTCAAAGGTTTGTAGAGAACCAATGAGTTTATTAACTTTGATGCTACTTAGGTTTTGTGCTTCTTAAATAGATGTAACCTTCATATTAAACATCTTAGGTAGTGATCTGAGGATTTTTTGGCCAACCTTTCTTCATACATCTTCTCTTCTAATGCAAAAGAAAGGTTGACAATGTCTCACAGTCTAATGTTGAAGGAAAAGATGGTTAATCTTTCTTCATATTCATATTCTCAAACTTTGTTGTGAGGAGTTGTAGCCTTGGCATATGAACTTTGGATGTGCCTTCACGTGCAATTTTAAGAATTTCCATGTTTCTTTGGCTTCAATACATGTGTTGATCAATCTAAACATGTTCTTGTCCATACTATTGAAAATAGAATTCAAGGCCTTGGATTTTACAAGAGCTTCATGATCTTTAACATTTTTCCAATTATCTTTAGGATTTAAGATTTATTTTCCTTTAGAGGTAGTCACAGGGTGTCCCAACCTTTTATATAAGCCTTCCATGTTTTTCTTTTCCATCTCCAGAGGTAGTCACAGGGTGTTCCAACCTTTTATATAAGCCTTCCATGTTTTTTTGTCCATGGAGCTAAGGAAAGCAACCAGTTTGGGTTTCAAATAATCATAGTCGGTGTCATCCAAGACAAGTAGTCTATTGAGTGTACCTGTATCCTTAATGTTGTCCATTTTAATAGAAAATACACTCCCTGGAGCTCACCCGAACAGAATAGGGTGTCTGTTGTGATACCAATTGAATTTTTTTCTATGTAGAGACATATAATGGATATAATGTCTAACATAATATTTTCAACATCTTAAATTATTATTGACAAATAATAGAAAATAAATGATAAATTATAAAGCAATTAAAGAACACAAGAAAATTGGTAATTCAGTTCAGTGCAACGTCACCTACGTGTAGGGGACTTTCAACCCAAGAAAGGAAATCCACTCTCAATAGTATTAGTATAATTAGTATTATATGAACAACCCTTGTTCAATGTCTTCTTCCTAATACTACCCGTGTCTTTCTATTTAGGAGTCCAGATAAATATGATAACCCCTCTCACTTTCTCTCAACCTCTAAACCTAGTGATCAATACTATAATCAATTTAAGGATTACTGATTTACAACTCAACTAACAAACTAACATATATGCCTTTAGATATGTAACTTAGGCACTAGAGAGGTGCACAAATAACAATACAAATAAAGACTCAAAATAGAAACCATAACACAAAGATATTCAACTCTTGCGCACCCTTCAAACATTAGGTTTGAGTCTTATTAAATAACAATGCATTTATTAGGATTTTATCCAATGGGAATTTGATTTGAGATCAGCATATTTAAAGTAGACTCAGTTAAGATTTCTCTTTCAAAAACCTTTACCAAAAATATTTAATTTGATATGATTCAAAATTAAATCTCCATATAATTAGATTTGAACATATTAAATCTTTCAAACAAATTTAAATAACAAATTTCTAACAGACAGAACCAAATCTTTTTAGAATAACATGAATCTCGCTCAGAATACAAGAGACACACACTGATCATGCACATATCATGGCATGCATACGGGGCATGATTCCACGCACAAGCTAGAACATCTTATCTTACATGTTGAACCATAACATTCAAACATATTGTACTACCCATATTGTTTTCCTAATTCATCCAATCAAAAGGAACAACAGTCGGAAACCTTCTGTGGGGCTCTTTTTGTTCTTTTTTCTATCGCCCATACTTCTCAAGGTGATGCCCGGAATTAGGGACATGTCTTCCTTCGCCCCCATGTGCCCCTGGCTAGATCGCCACTGACTGTGGTAATTTTCTAGAAAATTTCATATAGGTGAGACATACTACTCATAGATCTCATCTTTCCTTTTGTTTGTCGTTGACCCCGGTGGGATATGACCATTCTTTTAGAATAGGTTTTTAGAAGTATTGGTTTAAATGAAATTTCCACTGACCTATTCCTTCTTACTATTTCGAACTAACCCCTTTGTCTTTCGAGGAGATGAAAATGAAGGAGGATTTGCATTCTTAGTATCAGGGGCTCGGTTATGAAGAAAGACTTAGTCCTGGAAAAGTACTCACTTTTTAGCAAAAGAAGAGGAAATTAGATACTTATGCGATTGTTAGTGTGCCTGATCATTCTGAGAGACAAAAACATTTTAGTGAGGATGGGAATTCAGGGCGCTTTTTATATAGTGTTACTTATGCTTTGCTAATAACATGGATCAATTGCATAAGGCTCTCAGACTCTTCAAGGATTAGGGCCTTACGACTGGCTTTCTTGGTCAGATGTCAATGGCTCTTATTGTTGCTTCTACTTCTGCTATAGGGGTTCAGATATCGGCTGTAGTGACCTCCCTGATGATATTTTCAAATACTACCTTGGGTATGTCCCCCGAGGTGCAATAATTAAATATTGCGACTAATGGCTTTTCTAGTAACGAGCCACCATCGTCTCCATATCCAGTCAAGATGAGTCGTGGTGATAGCCTGTTGAATTTTATTAAAGTAGGTTCTTCTAAATGGGATCGCTTGTCGGAGGGTGATGAGAAGAATACTCATACTCTTTTATTTTGTCTTTCTATCATTCATCTGTCTCGGGGCCCAATCACTCTAGGGGAATTTGTTGCTGCTGTGGCTAACGAGGATTGGGATTTTTTCAAGATCTTATCTACAAATGATAGGAGAAGTCTTTTTGCAGATGCTTCACGTACCTTGAAGGAAAAACGTGAGGTCCTTGAGTGAGAAAATTTCGAGGATTATAAAGAGTTGGCCGAACGATGAGAAAAGGCCGAGTCTTCCGACTCTTAGTGGGAAGAGGTGGATCAGTAAAATCTTCCATCCATTTTGGCTGCTCAAATAATGAGGTTGAAGACTTCTCTTACCGAGGGAGAAAAGTGTTGGAAGAAGGCTTCTAAAGATGCGGAGGAAGCGTGTTGGGTGTTCGAAGAAAATAAGAAAGTTTTTCAACAAAAGAAGGATGACCAGATCAATTCTTTGAGAGGTATCAGGAGAAAGTGGTTGTTGCAAGGGAGAGATGTCATAAATACCTTCAATGGGATGTATATGTCATTTATATGGTCCGAGATCAAATGTTGGATGAGGCACGAGAATTTTATCCCGGCCTTTATGTCATTGTCGATCAAGTGGATCTTATACGTGCATCACTTAGAGAGAAAACCAGAGACTGCCCGGGTGTCTCGGAGTCGGGCGCTAATGTTTGAGGGTCTTTATGTTCCCCTTTTTATTTGTTCCTGTAAAATTTGGCCAGGATTTTTCAAGCCTCAGTTTGTAAACAATATTTGTTTTTATTTATATATTTACCTTTCGCATGGGTGTACTTTTTGGTTTCATATTGTGCTTTTTTTGAGTCGTTGTTTCTAGCCGATTGAGATATGAGAAAATATTGGGTTTTCTTCTGGGCCCTGTAGTTTGCACAATTTATTTCTACCAAAAGAAGTAAATAATATTTACTTAAAGTGTAAATACTATTTGCCTAGCCCCTATTCTCTCCACACAAAAAAATCTTTTATTTTCCATTTTGTTGGAGTTAAAAAATAATTTGAGATTTAAAATTAATTTTGAAGTGTTTTTTGCTTTTGAAACTAATATTTGTAATTTAAAATTATCAAGAAATTCAAATATTGAAAATAGTTTTTTTTTTGTATTTTACTCTATTTCAATTTTTTCACCTTCGATATTTTTTCGTCATCATCTTCAATTCACGCTTATGATCTTTAATTCCTTTTCTACAATTTGCGTTTCAATTTTTTAAGTTGGTGAGTGGATCCAAGAGTGTAATTACTCTGTTAAGGAAGTGTATAAGGGACTTTTGTTTCAATCTGATAACTTGGATAACCCGGATGGGGAAAGGCGTGGCCCAAAGTTGTCCCGCCGAAAGTTTCATGTCTAGCGTGGAGAATTTTTCAAAATAGAATTGCTACCAGAGATAATCTTATTAGGAGAAGTGTGATTGGTGTTGATTCTAATATGTATCAGAGAGTGTAATAAAGAAGAGTTAGTGGCTCATTTATTTTTCGAATGTCCAGTTTTTGCAAGATTTTGGTATGAGGTGTGTCGTTTGTTAAACATTTCCTCGGTAGTGCATAATGATATTCTATCGCATTTAAATCTATTTAAAGGTCTGGTAGGTGAAGGCAGAAATGTCGGTCTTATGGCCAAAGTAATTTGGTTCGCGTGTGTGTGTAATATCTGGAAAGAGAGGAACGATAAATGTTTTCAAAACAAAAATTTTGAGTCTGATTGCTTGGTTGAAAAGATAAAAATCCATGCTTGGAAATGGTTGAAAGTAAAAGCAAAGAATTCATTATTCGACAATATCTTTTTGGTGTTTTAATCCAAGGGCAAGCATGGGTTTGATTGAGGAGTAAAAGTATGTTTTCATTTTTTTTCTCTTTTGGTATCGGGATTCTCAGGTGCTTTGTCGGTGTTCTATGTGTTTTTAGTGCTTTTGGAAGTTTTATCGCACAAAGGGTTTGCCCATTTGTAGTCGTGTCACCTTGCAGCTGTATCATTTTTGGCAAGGAGCCATAGTAATCACAGGCATCAGAGTTTGTGTTTCGGTCAGTGGATTGAGTATTGCAAACTGACTGTTTTCTAGATCTACATCCTGGACAACGTATTATGTTTTTGAGTTTTATCCTAGTGTCTTTTTGGTTCTATTTTGGTTGGGTGAGCTTATGCCTGTTAAGTGGAATAATAGTATTTTGTTGTTGCAGATATGCTAAATATTGAGTTCCTGACTTGTTTTTGTTCGCAGTTGTGTGGTTTTTGTTACCAATTCTATCGCAGCAACAGACTGGTTTGGTGTCCCGTCGTGGGCGGTGTTGTACCCCAAAATTTACCTCTCATTTTATTCAACATATGTTCATTGAAATCTTCAACTTGCTCAAGGATGCCCAAGTATTTATTAGGAAAATGCTCTCCTAAGACAATGAACCTCAAACTAGGGTTTCCATTTTCATCAAGAGGTGTGAACTCCAAAGGTCTCAATTCTTTTACGTGGTCTTAATATGTTCTCAAGACCTTCCATGTCAAGTTTCATGCCCTGCACAAGAAGTTTGTTCAGTCAACTGCTCAAATGCCTGAAAATCAACTATACTAGGTCAAAAGTCAACTGTGGCCCACATACAGTCAAACTTCAAGATTTTTGGTCAACATCAACATTTTGAAGTAACATCCATCATTTTATCAAGGGTTGATCATGATTCCTCATGGAATGCCCCAAATTCATCAAAACTCAAAGGTTGCTAAATTAGGGTTTCTATAGGAAAAGTCAACCAAACATTGACCAGGCATAACTTTCTCATACTTTATCATAAATTTCTCATCCAAGGCTCATTTTTAATAAAATCCAATTCCCTACAATTCATCTTCATCCCTCAAGTTCAAGAAATGCACTCATGAAAAGATATAAATTCAGACATTATAGGTCTTTTTCAAAAGTCAACAAAAATACCTTTTGGGTCAAAACTCCTTACATGAACATGTAAGATCCAATTGATATGAGATAAAAGGGTTGTTTATAGGACATCTTAAGATTTCTAAAAAGCCCAAGAACACCCTCCTAGGGTCAAAATTGAGGAAGATGTGCATTGTCAAAGTTGACCATTTTTGGAAAATTACATGAAGCCAATATTGACCAAATTTGCATTTTTTTCCTAATGGGCCTAACTTTTTATTTTTGAAACTCATTCCTAACATGGTCCACGACCCATAAAACCCTCCATGATTTATTTTATCATTTATTTGATTTATTTTGATTTTAATCATTAAAAAATCAAATTAAATTAAATAAATGATACAAATTTGTTTTGAGATTATTTTTCATTTAATGAATGGCCATATATGCTGTCACATAGAAAGAAATCGTTCCATGCCATGGAAAAGGAAGAGAATATTCAAAATAGAAACATTGGAATTGTTTTAAAACTCATTCAATCCATTTGATCTAGTCCATATATGTTAACCTAATGTTGATTCACTACTTAAGCAAGTCATTTCATCCCTAAGAGAGATGACACACGCGCAGCCTGCCGCTGGAGAGAAAGAAAAGTTCCAAAAAATATTAAAGATAGGAGCCATCTTGTAGCACGCAATACAGCCAGTTTCAATTGTGCCAAGCATCCTAGCACCCTCCTGGAGATCTCAACATCTCATTCCATCCGCTCTTGAAGGCCAAAGCACCCACGATCACCCTTTCCAATACTCCACAAGTTGGTAAAATTCTTAAGCTTCAAACTTTTGAATCATGCAATATAAATTGATTTTTTGCATTGATATGTGTTCATAATATTGTTCTAAAGTTTTTTGAATCATTAGTTGCAAGCATGCACGCAGAAATAGCCATATGCCATTTTTAGGGCACGACCTGAAAACGTGCTCGAAGCTCTTGATACAGCCACGATCCATTAAAACCAAGCCCGGATTTGAACTTAGGGGGTGATTTTACAGAGAATAAGTCTATTTGCAGGCTTCAAATCTCATGAAATTGCAGGTTAGCCGTTTTGCTTTGTCGGAGAAGACGACCGGAGTGCAGCTCCAGCATTATTGACTCTTCTTTCTCAGGCGAAGACCTGGCGTGGCAGTTTCGTATAACATGATTGGTTCCCGAATTGCTGACGCATTTATTTTTTGCTGACTGGGATTTAATTACTTGTTTTATATATACTGTTATTGAGTTATCATATTCATGAATAATTAGTTAGCGAAGATGGCAAGGGAGTGAGCATATGAAAGGGAGGACCTCGGTTTGATCCCAGGTCCAGCCATTTTGTTTTTCTGATGTTCATATTGCAGATCTAATACATTGCCTCCTAGCGCGCACCCCATGCGTCTCGAAATATCACCCATTAGATTGTCCCTTGATCAAATCTAGCGTCCAGCAAGCACAGAACATGATGGACCCTCAGAAGGAAGCCCATTGAACCAGGCGTTGGATAATTGGGCCACCAGCCAGCTTGGGCCTAACAATTCAGCTTCACACCCCCAGTTTGCTTCATCACTCCATGCCCAATTTATTTTTCTTCATTATTTGTTTGTTTTAATTGTTTTCTATATTTTTTAATTAATCATAAAATCAACTAAAATCACAAAAAATAGACTTAGGTTTTTTTTAATTAAAATTAATTCTTGTAAATTAATTTAATTTAATTTAATTTATTTCAACTTGTTTTCTTTAATTTAAAAATTAAGTAGAAATTAGGTTAAATCTTGAATCTTTTTCATATAAAATACCAAAAAAATATTTTTCTTTAATTAATTATATTTAGGTTAAGATTTCAAATATTTTTCTTAATAATAAAATACAAAAACATTTTCTCTTTAATTGATTAGATTTTTTAGGACTTAGAATTTATTCTCGTCTTAATTCTTCGCGCACATTTATTTATTTATTTATTTCAATTATTGTATCTGCTTCGAGTTTGTAATAGCTTTTAATTAGGGTTTATTTTACTGCCTTTTATTTATTGTTTACTCCCAAGTCTAGTTATGTAACCCCCTCCCCAAAGCCTTGTAATAGCTAGGATTTTATTCACGCACTTTACTTTCCGCTATTATTAACTGCTTAGACTAATAGGCTTGTATGGAAAGAATAACGATTAAAACGGTAGATAACCCTAAATGCACAAGATCAAATTAACTGAAAAACAAACACTTGCACATGCTCACTCCTAAGGTATATCCCCACTTCGGTTGCCTTCGGTAAACGATCATGAAGTATA